TCAGAGCACCCACTCTAGGGGAAGGCTTTCTGTCTGTCAGCTCTGGAGGAAGGTCCTTGTCTCTTCAGCTTCTGCCCATGTGTCTTGCATCTACCTTACCCTGTCTCTCCTCTGCTTGCTTGTTTCCTGTCTTTTATATCTCAAAAGAGATTGACTCAAGATACATCCTACACTAATTTTTCCTTGTTAACATAACAAAAGCAACCCATTCCCAAATGGGATTATCATCACAGGTAGAGAGGTTAGGATTTACAACATGTATTTTGGGGGGACATAATTCAAGTCATAACATATATATTCGTATTTTTCAACAAATATTTAATGAAGGCCTAATACGTGTCATGCATTATTTCAGGCATTTGGGGATAAAGCAGTGGACATATCAGACAAAATTCCTGCCCTCATGAAGCTTACAATTCAGTAGAGGAAGAAATTAACAAAATAAAGCAGTACATCTTATAGTATGCTAAATGATGACAAATTTGATAGAGAATAAAAAAGAAAGGGGGTAGGGACTGTTGAGGGATTGATTTTTAATTAGCATAGGCATGAAAAACCTCTTAGAAAGATAGAATTTTAGTAAAACCTGAAAAAGATAAGGGAGTGAAACAGACTATCAGAGTCAGAATATTCCAGCAAATGGAATACAATGCAAATACCTTGGGGTGGGAGTGGGCCTAGCATGTTCAAGAAAGAGCTAAGAGGTCAGTGTGGCTGGAGTACAGTAGGAGATGGAGGCCGAGAGAGAGCAGCTGAGGGTCAGAGGGGCAACCACGGGTCATATCATATAGGGCCTTATTGCCATTGTAAACACCTTGGCTTTTACACTGAGTGACCTGGGAAGCCTTTGGAAGGTTCTGAACAGAGGTGTGGCATGGTCTGACACACTTTGAGGGTAGAGCCATCAGGATTTGCTGGTAGATTGAGTGTGAAAGAAGGATGACGCCAGTGTTTAGGCCTGAGCAACTAGAAAGATAGAGTTACCATTAAGTGCTATGCAGGAGACTGGTAGGAGCAGGTTTTGTTGTGCGTTTTGGAAGTTTGGAGTGGAGAGGATAACAGAAACTTAGTTTTGGATATGTTGTACTTGAGACGCCTGTTAGATGTCTAAGTAGAGCTTCTGAAAAGGAAGTTTAGACCAAAAAACTATGGCACTCAGGGAAGAGGTTAGGTGGAGATTTAAATTTGGGACTGTCAACATATATAGAGAGTAGGAAGGATTAGATGAGATCACTAAGATCATGAATGTAGATAGAACAGAGAAGAGGCTCCAGGATGGAGCTCTGCGACACTTCAGTGTTACGAGGTTGGGTGACAGGAGAAACCAGCCAAGGAGACTGAGAATACGTGGCCACTGTGGGATGAGAAGAGTCAGGAGAATGTGTCACAGAAGCCACACAATGAAAGTGTTTCAAGACAAGGAAGCACTCCACAGTTTTAGAGGCCGTTGATCAATAAGTTGAAGATGGGTAATTGATTTCTAGATTTAGCAATGTGTAGGTCATTGATGAAGCCCTGGTGGTGCAGTGGTTAAGCGCTCGGCTGCGAACTGAAAGGTCGGAGGTTTGAATCCACCAGCCATTCCATGGGAGAAAAATGTGGCAGTCTGCTTTTATAAAGATTTACAGCCTTGGAAACCCTATGAGGCAGTTCTACTCTGTCCTATACGTTCGTTATGAGTTGGATTTGACTTGATGGCAATGGGTTTGTTTCTTTTTGTTGTTGTTTGTTTGTTTAGGTCATTGATGACCACCATAAGAGCATTTTTCGTTGAAGGATGGGGCTAAAAGCCTGATGTTGTTGGTGTTGTTAGGTGCCATCGAGTCAGTTCACGCCCATAGTGACCCCAAGTACAACAGAACGAAACGCTGCCCGGACCTGCGCCCTCTTCACAATCGGTGTTATGCTTGAGCCTATTGTTGCAGCCACTGTCTCAGTTCATTTTGTTGAGGGTCTTCCTCTTCTTCATTGACCCTCTACTTTACCAAGCATGATGTCCTTCTCCAGGGACTGATCCTTCCTGATAACATGTCCAAAGTACGTGAGACGTAGTCTCGCCATCCTTGCTTCTAAGGATGGGAGCCTGATGGGAGAGAGTCTATGGGAGACAGTGAGTAGAGACATTTTTGAGAACGTATTCTCTAAAGTTAAGGAGAAAAGTGGAGCATTAGCTGGAACGGGGAAGAGAGGTCCAGAGAGGGCTTTTAAAACAGGAGAAATAACAGGATACATGTATGCCGGTGAGAATGATCAAGTGGAGATGGGAAATTGATGAGTCACAAGAAAGAGGGATGAATTGCTGGGGTGGTTTCCTTGAGTGGGAGAGAGGGGGTGATTGTGTGCAAGTAGGGAGATTGGCCTTTGCTCAGAGCATAGATACCTATTCATGTTAACGGGAGGGAAGGCTGCATACATTTGTACTGTTGTAGGTAAGTAGACAATATGAATGCTGAGAAGCATTCTTCTGATTGTTTCCATTTCCTAAAAAAAAAAATAGGGAGTAGGCTCATCAGCCCCATGTGAGGATGGAGAGAGGAGGTTTGAGAAGAAATGAGAAGTTTTGAAATTGTCATTTGGGAGAGTAGGAGAGAAAAAGGATGAGAAATATATAACAAGATTGCTGGATAGCGGTAAAAGTCCACTTAACATCAGTGGTCATAAATTTCAATGAGACTAGTGAGCATAGTTTTGAACTTTCCCAGGGCATGTTTAGCTTTGTACGTGCTATAGGCAGGGAGAGAGACTGATTCCACAGCGGACATGCCCTGAATGTCTACTTGGCACCAAGCACTGTGGTAGGTGCAGGGGATACAGGGATGAACAAAATAGGTTTGCTGTATCCTTGTCCCTGGGTGATGCAAACATTTTGCGCTCGGTTGTTAACCGAAAGGTTGGCGATACAAATCCACCCAGTGGTGCTGTGGAAGAAAGGCCTGGTGATCTACTTCCATAAGATTACCACCATAGAGAACCCTATGGAGAACAGTTCTACTCTGAAACATATGGGTTGCCACGTGTTGAAATCAACTTGATGGTAACAAGCTTTTTTTTTTATTTTTTATTTTAACCTTCCTTAAGTAACTTTAGAGTAGGTGGAATGATAGATCGATAAGCATCTAAATTCAGTATAACATGGTCAATGCTAAGAGTGCTATGAGTATTGAAAGGCATGAAAGCACAGAAAAAGCCTCTCAGTCCAATCTGGGGGTTCAGAGAAGGTTTGCTGGAGAACATGATGCCTAAAAGTGACTATGTTGTTATTAGTTGCCCTTGAATGAGCTCAACTCATGGCAGCCTTATATCTAAAAGAATTAAACGTTGTCCCATCATACACCATCTCCATGATTTTTGGCATGTTTGAGTCCAGTCAGATAATATTTTGTTCTGATCTGTAGGGTTTTCATTGACTAATTTTTGGAAGTAGATCACCAGGCCTTTCTTCCTAGTCTGTCTTACTCTGGAAGCTCAGCTGAAGCCTGTCCACCATGGGTGACCCTGCTGGTATTTGAAATATCAGAGGCATAGCTTCCAGCATCACAGCAACATGCAAGCTACCACAGTACGACAAACTGACAGACTGGTGGTGGGGAGTAAGTACAGATATGAGGTTTAGTAAAATCAGGTAAAGAAAGATGGGAAAGTGTTCCATGTGGAAGAAACTCTATGAATTAGAATTAAGCAGGTGAAGGTGAGAAAGTTTCTCTGTGTGGCACAACATCATAGGGGGTGACCTAACATTGCATGGATTAGAAAATGGACGTCAATGATATTACAACGGAAAATAAGAAGAAGGGAGTGGAGTATCAACAGGTGGAGCGAAGGGGTAGGTACATGGGAAGCCTTGACACTAAGGGGAATCACGAGGAGGACACTGGGCATTTGAGGTGGGTCTCCTGCGCTGCCATGTGGAAGGTAGATTTATGGTGTGGAAACTGGAGGTAGGGACCTCATGTATGAGGCTGTAGCAGTAGATCAGGTGTGAAATACTGGGTCCTAGGGCTGTGGTCATAGGAATGGAGAAAAAGGAATAGATTTGAGAGAAATTGTCAAGGCTGAGTGATTTTTTTGAATGTGGAGGCTGATGCATCTTACATTTTAACCCCATTCCTTAACTATAGAAAACTCCGTAACCTGAGCCAGACATTAAAAAAATGTGTGTCATTGGTTATAGAGGAGGCAGGGTGAAATAATATGAATAGATTGTTTACTCTACTAGTGTTATTGGAATACATATGGTTTTGATGGAAAGCCCATAGTCTCTTCTTTGAATATAAAAGGTAGCATGTATATTCATTCTGTATTTGTTAATAAATATATGTATGTGACTTATTAACAAAATAAAAATTGAACAGATGTATTTTGTGTTCTCTTGTGTGTTAGGTAAATGACTGTGTCTCATTTTTAATTAGTGAGATTTGGATGGTCAATGAAATGGTTATATGATTAGAGGCTTTGAGGGGAATAATGCTTATTATTGTGGAGTGGAATAATGGATTGATCAGAGAAGGGCAATGCAGAGGACTTTGGCTATATGTCTAGTTCTTCAGTAACACTTGGGTAGAACACTTAACTTCCTTGTGGTTGGCAAGCATATGTAAGCATACTGTATTGGAGTCCCTGGGTGGCACAAACAGGTAACACACTCAGCTGCTAACTGAAAGACTGGAGGTTCAAGATCACCCAGAGGTGCCATGGAAGAAATCTTTGGCAGTGTAGTTCCAAAAAATTCACCATTGAAAACCCGATGGACTACAGTTCTACTCTGACACACACGGGGTCACCAGGAGTCAGAATCCACTCAATAGCAACTGTTTTTTTTTTTTTTTTTTCCTTCACTATGTATCTTGGGCTTGATACAGGGATTAGGATATTAATGAGTAAAAAACACATTGATGATTTTAAGAGAAATGTATATGTGTATTTATTTGTAAAAGTACTGAAGATGATTTATTGAAATTAAGATACTTATTACATCTTCCATTTTGTTTCTACTTGGACAGTGTAAAGAACATGACTTGGCCGTGATTAACCAGTTGCTGGATGATCCGAAGTTGACAGCCAGGAAGTACAGAGAATGGAAGGTCTTGAACACTCTGTTGATTCAGGATATCTACCAGCAGCAGCGGGCGATGCCTGCCCCTGAGAGCAACCCCCAGGAACTTGAGAAACAGCCCCCCTCAGCTTATGTTGAAAGTTCTATTTGAGAACAGTCTCGGATTCTCTCCCCTTTTGTCCCATGCAACTTTCCAAGATGTTGCAAGAACTTAGATTTTTCCTTAAAAGGAAAACTAAAACCCTCTAAAGATGCAACTTAGGTGAAGATCTTCACCCAATACATCAGGACTCCTAGTTCCTGTTGCAAGGCATCCATGGAATGATTTGATTGGAATGATTGAGTTCAGTTGAACAAAAAATGATCTTTGTGTTCCTGCTGGGAGCTTAAGGTTATGCTAGGCTCTAGGATGGAATGTGAGAAATGTATTTTCTGTTCCTTGCTCTCAAGATTATTCCAATATTCAATGGAAAAAGGATCAAATTTGACCAGGGTGAATTATTCGTAGAATTCTTCTGTGCTCCTAAAGAAGAATCTACGTATTCCACCTGGTTGGGTAGCTGAGTTCTCCAAATTATTATTATTATTTTTTGAATGAAGGAACAGCTGCAACTGGAGCAGGACAAACATGATATTCTGGAACAAATCCTTTGCTATTGGTTACAGAAAAGGTGTGCCTTTTCCACCTGTTGGCAAACACTTCACAGAGAGAAGTGTGTGGGAGAGTACCAGCAGGAGCCATGTTCTATATTCCTCTCACTCAAAGGACAACTTAATATTTTCACACGTGACCCAGGTGGAGGATCCCATAAATGTGCCCTTTCCATCAAACAGCGAGAGAAAAGCATCTTATTACACTTGGAGACCTCTTCTCCCTCCTAGCTTTTCTAGGCATCTGTGGGAAATCGTAACAAGTCCAGCGGGAAGTGTTTGCTGCTTTTTTCCTTGGCTGTGGTGCCTGTACACAGTATGAATTTATGTCCAGATTCCCTGGGATCCATTCTGAAATGATGATTCTGGTGTCTGAATTGGTTTCTAATTCCTTTACTCCAAAAAACAACGATTGTTTTATTTTTGTATAGTTACGTGTGACTTTGTGTCCTTCGTGAATAGATAAGTTTCTATGTTTGTTATTTAAGTATATTTATAGAAGTTCAAATTACTACTGTTGTCAAAGATGATATACTATTATATGTTTTGCTCAATACATATTCTTGAAGTATATACTTTTTGCTTGAGAAAAATAGGGATATAATTGATTTATTGGAGTTATTATGTTGCACTATAAGGTAGTGGAATGCTCAGGAAACCTTAAGAGATAAATATGGGGGCATGCATTAGTAATCTTTGCTTTTCTGATCTCTCTCTTTTTCTCTCTCTCTCAACCCAGGGCTCTTAGATTTCTCCGTTTGTTTTAAGTCACACTCTTCACTAGAAAAGCACTTTCATCTTAAGTAATCTCTTCTATTAAATTAACTGTCTTTTAAGCTTTATGCCACTTATGCCCACAAACTCTAACCCAAATGAAACACAATCCATGTTGTCTTTCGACTAACGCCTCACAGAAATTTGGGGGTCCATTGTTAAAGAAGAGCTCATTTTGTTAGAGAAAAAAATAAAGTCTTCACTTACTGATCTGACTATTTCTCACCATGAGAGTAACCACAACCCACCAAAAACCCATTTTGGCCCCACCGCTAGCAAACTGTCGACATAACACATTCTGTTTGTAGTCATTGTGTGGCTTGACATTCAAATGGAAAGAACCGCCTGAATTTTATTGCAAACTAAGTGGAAATGTTGGTTGAATATTTCCCCAAGTTTTACCAAGAAGTTGTAATACTCTGTAAACAACAATCCTCACATTAAGTAAGAAACAAAACAGGAAGCAAGATGCAGTGATAGAAGCCTGATATAAGACACAATGTCTGTGGCTTTGGCCCAACAGAACACGTGGGTGCTCGTGTCTGTGGAAGGTGTTGGGTGAGGCCATGGGCCATACTGGCCATGGAGTTCAGACCGGCAGTGAGTGTTCAGTTGGTACAGACAGAAGTAACTCTCCAGGTTCTCAAATTGGACCCCCCAAGCTTCTGATTTGAGAGGCCAATGCTTTAACCTTTTTGATTCGCAGCTATGAGCAGGATTCACCAGTGTCAACCAAGTGTTGAGGGAAGGGGAAATAATAATGGAGGAAATAATAGGATGACATAGACGTGCTTGCAGCTTTTTCCCCTTCGGTTTGCAGCACCAGCCTGCAGACTCCAAGACAGCTCCCCTGAAATTGAAGAGCTCCAAAAACTTTGACCAGGGCTTGTGAATACATGTAAATGCTTTTGTGGCTTGTCATGAATATGCATTTAACTCACCTTTTAGTGCAAGCTATTTTTAGTACCACTCAAATATTAAGGCAGAATAGGTCCACGAGAGGACTTAATCAGACCTTTCAAAGAGTTACTTTTCAGAGTCATTTCAAGAAAGTGATCTAGAGGCGTTGGAATTGTCGGTTAACACAGCTGCTTTGCAGAACCTCCCAAAATGAAAGTTAAACTGAACTGCCCAATTCTGTGCCCTGTTCCCTTGTGTTTTCCCCTGGGTAAATACTCTTGCTCTATACTGCGTTGTGTTGGGAAGTAGGCGGCTGCTTCTGTGAGTTCCCAACCTCAGAGGTGGCTACTAAGGGCCAGGGTGAGTGACAGTGGGTGATACTTTCTATGACATTCAATTTAGGAGTAACCCTGGTGGTTCTCTTGGCCTTAAGCAGTTTTTCTTGTCTAAAGGATATTGGGAAAAACTGGATTACTTCCAGTGTATCCCTGGGGATTGGGCTGTGTTGGAAATGGATTTTGGGTAGTTTCATAGAGTCTAAGGTGAGACTCTTTACTCACTCTGATAGCCATAATGTTTGGGGACTGTGGTTTGACTCAAAGCCACGGCTGCTCAGGAAGGAGAGAATCTCTGTCCAAACCTGTGTCACCTGTTAGGGATCACAACCCAGAGGACGCTTCTTTGGGGTTCTGGGGAGGATAGCTTCTCTCTGTTGTTGCCTATAGACCCTACTCTTGGATACATTGCAATACACACTGAATTGGATGGTTCCACGTTTGAGGGGCCTCTGTGACTTTTAAGAATTCTACGTTCTGCCACAGCAGCTCAAATCTCAGTATCAAGGGTCTAGAAAGACTCATAAAGCACAAAATTACAAAGACTCTGGGAAGTCTAAGAAAGAGACTGTGCTTGGAGTCAGATTTCAATGTGAAACTGATGCCTTATATTTACATAGCACTTTATAGTTGGCAAAACAACACATTTCATGCCCCCCACTCCCCGCAGTGGCCCTGTGTGGAATGTATTACCTTTAGTCCCTTTTGCTGAGGGCAGACACAAGCTTTGAGAAGTGAAATGGCTGTCCTAGGGTCCCAAACCGTCATTGGTAAGACCAGAAGGGAGCTTGAGGCTCCTGCCCCCAGCCCCTCCTGCTCCCATCACACTGCAGCGGCTGCGGGAGCAGCACCTGTGGGGACAAAAGCAGTTTGGCTCACTCCGCGTAGTCCATTGCACTGGGAGCCGCACACCCTGCTGAGGTGGCTTTTGGCTAATCTGAAACCTGGGGGCCTCTTCCCCTGAGCGCAAAACCAAAACCAAACTCTTTGCTACCAAGTGGACTCCCAACTCATGGAGTGACCCCATGTGACACAGTAGAGCTGCCCCATAGGGTTTTTCTTGGCTGTAATCTTTACAGAAGTAGATCGCCAGGTCGTTCTCTCCTGAAGCCTCCAGGTGGGTTCGAACCGCCCACCTTTTGGTTAGTAGTCAACTGCAAATCGTTTGTGCCACCCAGAGACCATCCCTGAGCACAGTCTCTTCCCAACTGCCCCAACGGCACTTTCCCTCCTGCAGAGACTGCTGTGGGGCCGTCTGTGAATTGGGGGTTGATCTGTGCTTCCTTTCTTTCTTTGTAAACTATACACTTGTTAGGTGCTGTGAGCCCTTTGGATGAAAGAGATATTCAAAGGATTGAAGAGTGTCTATTTTGCTTTCCTTTTAAAGCATGCTGGGGGATGGCAGAGACTGAACTTGGTGATCAGGGTTAGTCCCTTAAACTTTCTCTCTCAATTTCTTCTTATGCAATTATGATACTTCTCTCAAATAATCTTTACATCACAAACCATGTCATAGAGATTAAACAAATAAAAGAACTAATTATAAGACTTTTGGGAGAGGTGCTAGACAAATTCAAGCCATGTTTAAATTCACGGACACACAGGTCTGTGTAAAATACTCTCATTGGATGAGAATGTTTTGCTATAGCCACACAGGTGATTTAATGAGTAATGTAAGTACCTGTTAACCCATTGCTGGTGAGTCAATTCCGACTCATAGTGATCCTACAGGATGGAGTAGAACTGCCCCATAGGGTTTCCAAGGAGTGGCTGGTGAATTCTAACTGCTGACCTTATGGTTAGCCGCCAAGCTCTTAACCACTATGCCACCAGGGCTCCAATTTAGGTACAGAGGATGCCTATCCAAAAGCCACTTGGTAATGAAAAGCTGTCATATCTAAATGTTAGGATGCCACCTCATCTTCTGCCTCACAAAATAGGATATTTGATTGGGGTTTTCTCAGTTTAGTCCCCTTCCAATATTTTTGTATGTTGAAATCTCAAGAGAAACTGAATTCTAGTAATGTGAGATTAATGCCCTGCCTAGGGTTTTGAAATACATAAATAAAAATAAAAGCCGCTGAAACAATATTTTTACAACCCATAGATAGTGACTGGGGAGGGGGCATAATTCCACCCCTCCCAGAAGGCCACCCATCTCCATGGACAACATAATGTATGACTGCGAGTTTCTCTTTGTTGTACATCTTCCTAATTCATAGTTTCCTGTGGATCCTCTTTCCCATGCTTCCACAGTACCTCATCGAAAACATTATGGATGGATTCTATGTTTTTTAAAAAAGTACTTTTTACATTCTCTGGCTGCGAGGAGACAACTTAGTTGCTGTGTATTGCTGTTTCTTTACCTTTAGTCCAAAGGGGAAGCATGCCTCGTGGAGACATTTAACATCCCATGATAAAAACCAGGATTTGTAATCATCAGATAGTTCAATGTCCTTGCATGATGGGGATGTGACTCTTAGCACTGCATGGCGTTTGGGGGCAAGTTTTAATGTAGACATGATACGTTAAATTGCATTGTGCTTTCATTCTGTCTCCTACCGACTTTGGCTAAACTGAATGGAGGCGTGGTTCATTTCTCCCGCTTTATGTTTCTGAGGCTGACTTGTAAGAGAAAAATAAAAACAACAGAAAATGTTTCTAGTAAAATGACATGGACAAATATTTGAAATATTCCACTGGTGTTCATTTTCTGCACTGAAATGTCGCTTCCTCAAAGATAAATCGCTCTTTTATCTTCCTCAAAGGTTATAGCGCCCTCTGGTGGCTGCACAAAAAATAATTGATTCTGGAGTCTATTGCTGTTTTTATTCTTTAAATAAATATCTAATTATGATGGGAAATCTATTTTCATCAGGAACCCATGTGGTCTTCTCCAATTTATTAGTACAACAATGTTTAGATTTTTCAAAAGTTGAAGTTGGCCCGAAAAATTTGATTTAACACTTTGTTATGTATTTGCAGATTATATAAGCTAAAACCTGAGGACCATAAAGTCCTTAAAATACATATTTATATGAAAATGTACAAAGAAAACATTGAAATTATTGAAATATCTAAAAGGCATAATAAATTTCCTTTCTTTTGGATCCACTCATCAGATGAAGCTAGCCTAATTTGAACAGGATTCCCACCTCCTTTTTCACTGTCTATGCAAATAAAAGGTTCTCATTATTTTTTTCTCCATCTCTCCCAATTCTCTGCATACTCGATGCCACCCTCCTTTTTCTCTATCCTGCCTCCACCAAACATTCCCAGGCTCCCAAATGGAAGCTATAAAAAATATTTTAGATCAAACTGAGAAGCAAAAGGCATAGATTTTTTAGAATAAACTTGTTATTAGTTTCTGATTGCTGCTGTAACAAATTGCCACAAACTTAATAGCTTAAACCCCACAAATTTATTATCTTACAGTTTTGGAGGTCAAGTCTGAAATGGATCTCACTGAGCTAAAATCAAAGTGTGTGCAGGATTTTGTTCCTTCTGGAAGCTGTGTGGGAAAAGCCATTTTCCTTGTCCTTTCCAGCTTCTAGAAGTCACCTGCATTCCTTACCTCTCGTCCCTTACTTCCATTTTCAAAGCCAGCAAAATGTTGTATCTCTCTGTGCTTTTCTTCCCTTATCACATCATCCTCAGACTGGTTCTTTTAAGGACCCTTGTGATTACATGGGGCCTATCTGAACCATCCAGGACACTCTCTCAAGGTCAGCTGATTAGCAAACTTAACTCATCTGCAGTCTTAATGCCCCTTTGCCATGTAACATAACATATTCATAGGTTCTGGGGCTTAGGATGTGGACACTTTTCTGCCTACCACAAATCTCCATTTCAATATCCTGCTTCATCTCCATAAACCATCAATATCTCCAAGAAATTTGAGGATTTCCAAGTTTTAGTCAGAAGTGTGTAAGTCCTTTGTTATACCGTGTGATTGGAATTAGATATTACCAAAATATGTTCACCATAGAAAAGGCCATTCCATCCTTGAGAGGAAAAAAAGGGAATCAATTCCTGGCTTTCTACAAACATACGTGCACAGGTGCAGCAGATGCACTGTTTGAGTAATTGGATCAGGTTTTAATGGTTCCTTCATTTAATGACAAAACACTCAAAAGCCCCTTTTAAGAATCAAATATCATAAAGCAGAGGATAATTTAGACTTCAGAAATCTTAGGTTTATGATCTGCTTTGCACCACGTCAGACTTACAGATGGGTTTGGCCAAGTCTTCAGCTTCCTTCCTCATCAAAGAGCAAGGAGGCTTTTGTGGAGTGGGTGTTGATGTTCCAACGTCCCAATAAGCACTGAATTTCCCAAGCCCCAGCCCTCCGAATAAATCACACTCTAAGCATTATATTTTTGTGTTTACCTTTAAAAGAAAAATAGCTTTATTGACGTTGCTGTTGCCAGGTGTCATCGAGTCTGTTCCAACTCATAGCAACCCTATGTACAACAGAACAAAACACTTCCTGTGCCATCCTCACAGTTGTTGCTTGAGCCCATTGTTGCAGCCACTGTGTCAATCCATCTCGTTGAGGTTCTTCCTCATTTTCTCTGACCTTTATGTATAGGTAATTCCCAATGGTAGTCTGCTAGTTTTCCGGGCCCAAATTTTAGGAAGTCAGAAACACTGTACCAACCCTGAAGTCTCTTCTGAGCATGCCCAGGCAGTTCTATCCAGAGGTTGGGGGTGGGGGGAGGCGTGGGAGAAGGGACAAATTCCCACCTGAACAGAGGGCCTGGATATTTAGCAGATTATTACCTGAGTGCCAAAGGTAATTGTGCATGCTGTTGCTTCCCTGCCCAGACCCCCTCCACCTGGTTAGAACTTTTGTCCGCCCGTTGCTGAGTTTTTCTTCCTAACCAACCAAACCAGTCGTCCTCGAGTCGACTCCGACTCCTGGTGACCCCATGCGTGTCAGAGAAGAACTGTGCTCGATAGGAATTTCAATGACTGATTTTCAGAAGCAGATCACCGGATCTGTCTTTCGAGGTGCCTCTGGGTAGATTTGAACCCCCAGCCTTTCATTAACAGCCAAGAGCGTTAACCATTTGCACCAGCCAGGCTCTCTCTTTGTTCTTAACACCATCCCCCTTTTCCAGAGACTTTTCCCTCAGCTGAAAGGGACCCCCCAAGGCCAGCAGGTTATGTCTCCTACCCCCGTCCAGGGCAGCTGCAGCCAATGACTGACTGATGGGATTAAAAGGCCCGCCAGCTTGCCTCAGGTGGAACTGATTCTTTGGACTAGTGCTCCAGAGGCTTCCCCAGGGGCTCAGGCTAAAACTGGTCCACAGCTGAGGCCATACACCGCTCAGCATCTTTACCTCCTCCTATCATGTTTCCCTCACCCCTTTCTTAAAACATTCCTTCAAGAAATCATTTTCACAAGACTCCCTGTCTCAGGTTTTGCTTCCAACCTCAGTTAATTCCAGTAATGATCCCAGGAAACAGACTCTAGGGATGGAATCAGAGAGGCGGATTCTCCTTGATCGCTAAGCCAGCTAAGTGACAATGGGATGCCGTCTGTTGGGGTCAGGGGAGTATGGACAAACTTGGCATGCTGTATGTGGGTGATTTTGGAGATTTTACCTATTATGCACTGGGATGAGACACAGGAGGAAGGGAAGTACTGGCTGGTGCAATGTCTCTGGTGTTGGAGAGGTGGGGAAGGGAGGAAGGAGTAGCTGAGTACCACTGATGAACTGAAGAAAGTAACAGACTCAGGTCTATTAACTAACAATTTAAAGCAAAATGTGAGAGTTAGAGAGGCAGTTTTTCAGAGACACTCATCTTGTGTAGGCAGAGGGCAGATGAAGTTAAAAACTAGACACAAGACTTAATTGTAAGAGTGATAGAACTTTCTAGATGACTAAATCTCATCCTTGACGAGTCTCCACTGCCAAACACAGGGTTTTGACAGGGAAGGAATGAGACCCTGGGACTCGGGATGAGGATTCATAATAAACTTGAACCCAGATTCTCCAGGAACCTCTGGGCATTCAGAAGAGGTCCACTTCCTCTTACTGGAAGACAGAAGCCTCCAGCCTTCATGTTTGAAAACTATTCAGAGACATCACATGAGGCAGGTGCCTCACAAGACAACACTTGCTCTCTTCAGCATCCCTCACCACCTCACTTCCTGGCCACAGGCTCTTCATTAGGGCCAATCTCAGCATCACCCAGTGGGGGAGTGCTGGGCCTGATAAGGGAATAAAGCAAATACACACCAAAAAGAACCACAGAACCTGCCTAACTAAGGGGCAGGGACTAAGAAGGGGAAAACGCCTAAATCTTTCCAGGGAAATTTAATACAGGGTCCAAAGGGACGTTGATACTCAAGCAGTCAAAAAACCATTATGGCTTCTGTGTTAGGGTGGAGGCATATGGAGGTCATGCAATAAATGGACCAGCTTCTTTTGAATTGATGCATTTAAATTAAGGTTTTGGCAAAGAATATTGAATATACCATGAACTGCCAGAAGAATGAACAAATCTTTCTTGAA